ATTGCCTGTGCAGTTTTTTTGCGCTAAAATAAAAAGAAGACTGACAATTTTGAGAAAAAAAATTATATTTTTTACTTTTTCCTATTAAACATGTCCAGAAAAAAAAAATAAAAAAAATCAAATTTCGTCATAAATTTACACCAAAATGTATTCTGCTACATGTCTTTGCTAAAAAAAAATCCCAATACGTGTAAATTAATTGGTTTACGTGAAAATTATAGCATTTACAAAATGACGGTATATATACTTGAAATTTTTTTTCTTTTGTTTTTACTAGTAATGGCGGCAACCAGCGACTTATAACAGAACTACGGTGGACATTCTGACACTGGGGGGAACTGACTTGATGTCACTGACATCCCCAGTGACACCAATACAGTGATCAGTGCTAAAAAAAAAAGCACTGACACTGTACTAATGATACTGGGCAGGAAGGGGTTAACATGAGGGGTGATCAAAGGGTTAACTGTGTGCTAGAAGTGTTTTACTAGGGGGCAGTGTCAGTGTGCTTTACTGTAATCACACTGCTTTGGATGGCTGTGCTGTGCATAACCATGCAAGGCAGCGTGCCTGAGCTAACAGGATGGAGAACTGTTAGTAAACAAAACAGTTTTCCTCCCCTTCGGAGATCCTCAGTAATCACTGGGTGCCAGTGAACAATCACCGGCTGGGACCCGGTGATTGACAGCCGTGGCCACGAATGGTGGTGCGGGTAGGGCTCTTTCACACCCCCTACCCAAGAATGCAAAATCACGTATATATACCATGCCGCCCTGTAGCAGTATTTCTGCTATAGGGCGGTCGGGAAACGGTTAAGGACATTAGTCATGGTGACAGATGTTGCTTAGCGAGAAAGGGGGGGGGGGGGGTTTAAAGTCCCTTTACATGGAAATGTTTTCCTTGGATAGCTTGAGCTTGGATGGAAGTGTTAGTAGAGTTCCTGCTTAACAGGGTAGTGAAAGGGGTGACCCCTGGTATCCTGCAGTCAGCGCTGATATAGACAGTAGGGGTGGTAGATTGCAGCACTGAATTTGCTATAGTGTCAGTGCCTAAAGGTAGAGGCCTTTACTGTAAACTGTTCCAAACTCAAGCAACTAAAAGCAGAAAAAAGGCTTGTAGACAACGGCAGTGTTATGTGTTTTAGGAACCCGCTCACCCGGTCTCACAGTGCAGCAGGGCAAAGCAATGACCTTCTAGTTGGTGGGGGGACCCCTTTGTCCTCTTCTGTTATGACTGTGAAGATGGTGATGACCCTGTCCATCTGTCTGCAGGCTCTGCTAACTTGCCTTCTCATGATGATCAGCTGGGCCCACGTGGATCTACTCTACTCTTTCTCTTTCACATCCAGCCTCCAACACTTTCTCTTTCCCATCTACCACATGTTCCTAGGCTTTTCCCTTTTTAAATGCTCTCACCCCCTTCCCTATGCAGTTTAGTTTCAGCTAACCTGGATGAACAATCCTGTTTTCAGCATACAAATTCCAGCATCCCCAGCCTTCCTGTATTGGACCTTGTAATACTAAGTTGTGGAGCATTGCCATATTGTGGCCAAATACGGTTCTGCATAACAGTAACAATACACAGTCTTATACACTCTTAACACTAAGAGTGTTATTAAACCCTGCATTCACTATATCTGGTCTCCCACAGTACACAGAACATGGAAGTGCAATTATTTTAGTAAATACAATGGATATAAAAAGTCTACACACCCCTGTTAAAATATCAGGTTTCTGTGATGTAAAAAAATGAGACAAAGATAAATCATTTCAGAACTTTAATGTAACCTATAAAATGTACTAAGTTGAACAACAAACTAAAATCTTTTAGGTGGAGGGAAGTAAAAATAAAAAACTAAAATAATATGGTGGCATAAGTTTGCACAAACTAATACTTTGTTGAAGCACCTTTTGATTTTATTACAGCACTCAGTCTTTTTGGGTATGAGTCTATCAGCATGGCACAGCATGACTTGGTATATTTCCCGACTCTTCCTTGCAAAAACACTCCAAATCTGTCAAATTGAAAGGGCATCTCCTGTTCACAGCCCTCTTCAGATCACCCCACAGATTTTCGATCGGATTCAGGTCTAGGCTCTGGTTGGGCAATTCCAAAACTTTAATCTTCATCTGATGAAGCCATTCCTTTGTTGATTTGGATGTATGCTTTGGTCATGTTGAAACATGACGTTCCTCTTCATATTCATATTTCTAGCACAAGCCTTTGTGCCAATATTGACTAGTATTTGGAACTGTTCATAATTCCCTTTACCGTGGCTAAGGCCCCAGGTCCAGCTGAAGAAAAACAGCCCCAAAGCATGTTGCTTCACTGTGAGTATGGTGTTCTTTTGGTGATGTGCAGTGTTGTTTTTGCACCAAACATATCTTTTGGAATTATGGCCAAAAAGTTCAACCTTGGTTTCATCAGACCATAACACATTTCCCCCAATGCTTTTGGGAGACTTCAGATGTGTTTTTGCAAAATGTAGCCAGGCTTGGATGTTTTTCTTCATAAGAAAAGGCTTCCGGCTTGCCACTCTACCCCATAGTCCAGACATATGAAGAATACGGGAGATTGTTGTCACATGTGCCACACAGCCAGTACTTGCCAGATATTCCTGCAGCTCCTTTAATGTTGCTGTAGGCCTCTTGGCAGCCTCCCAGAACAGTTTCCTTCTCGTCTTTTCATACATTTTGAAGGGACGTCCAGTTCTTGGTAATGTCACTTTTGTGCCATATTTTCTCCACTTTATGATGACTGTCTTCACTGTGTTCCATGGTATATCTAATGCCTTAGAAACTCTGTTGTACCCTTCTCCTGTCTGATACTTTTTAACAATGTGATCCCTCTGATGCTTTGGAAGCTCTCTGCAGACCATGGCTTTGCTGTAGGATGCGACCTAGAAAATGTCAGGAAAGACTTACTAGAACAGCTGAACTTTATTTAGGGTTAATCAGAGGCACTTTAAATGATGACAGGTGTGTACTGACTCCTATTTAACATGATTTTGAATGTGATTGCTTAATTCTGAACACAGATGCATCCCAGTTATAACAGGGTGTGCACACTTATGCAACCACATTATTTTAGTTTTGTATGTTTACTCCCCCCCCCCACATCACAGATACCTGATATTTTAACAGGGGTTTGTAGACTTTTTATATCCACTGTATAAGCTGCTAAATACCTTTCTCATCAGCAGTTAGAGCAGTCTTGTAACTTCTATCAGTGTCCAGCAGAGCACATGTTAAAGCTTGTAGGAGGAGTTTTCATTCTGCTCTAGGAGGATGCAGAAGCCCTTAACTATGTTTGGACAGTGCTGATTGGCCCTGTGCTGATCACATGCACTCTCCCAAGAGAAAAAAACCCTCTCTAGCAATACACATCAAACTGAACATGTGCAGAATGACTCCAGAAAATATGTCTTATCAGGAGATAACAGGGGGACACTGGGAGAAGGGGAGGATCAGAGAAGTCAGGATCAAACAGCCTTTTTACACGATGCAGAAGATGAACCCCTTAGGGTCCACAGTGAGTATAACAAGCATGTTTTACTGCATATACAGACTGATTTTACTGTTGTGGTTTAGTAACACTTTAAAGTCTTTGGTCCCCAAAGAAGCTTATTAAATCAAACCAACAGTGTCTGAAAACCAGGAAACATATAAATAACAGATATAATGATATAACAATCAATCAGGAGGTACAATAATGAGTAAGCTTTCATTACGAAGCAAGTTTAACAAAAAGGTGTCCCGCCAAAGGTTGGGAGAGGCTAAGTGACTCTGAAAAAGAGTTACCATTTCACTTTCTACCTCGTTGATAGTGTTAGTAAGGGGGCTCTCATGCTCCAAGGAGCAGGAGCAGCTGTACTAAGTACAGGAGCTTCAAGAATCCTTTGACTATGATGAATCACTCTGATTGTCATATGTCAGTCTTTCGGGTGGCTTTATAGTCCGCCTTCCTCTAAGCTCAGAACAGAAGTCAACTTCATCTTCAGCCTCTGAAGCGCTTTCCTTCTGCACTTCTTTTTGACATCAGTAGCTATAGGCTCAACCAAGTCCTCCACCTCTAAATAGCCATGAATGTCTTCCTCAGATTTAGGTTGGCCAGGGTCACTGGGATCTAGGTTTGAGTGGGGTGCTAACAGACTTGAGTTGGGTGGGAGCAATTAGACACTTTCCTTAATGGATGATAGAAACCATATCCAATCAATTTCTACTTCTTCTTTCTCTTCCTCCCCAGCCCCCTCCTCCTCGAATGCTTGGGTGGGGGAGGAGTAGGAAGGTTGAAGTCTGCGGGTATCCCCTCTTGGGGGCTCTCCTGTTGAAGTTGGGATTTGCACAGAATCAGAAATGGGTAACAGGGGCCACAACTTCATCGATCCCCTTTTTCCTTCAGAGCGAATCTGATAGACAGGGAAGCCCGGCAACTTCCGGCAGATTATGTAGGGTTGAAGCTTCCAGTGAGCAGCTATCTAGTGTTTCCCTGGGACACCAAGGTTTCTTAATAGCACTCAATCTCCCACCTGTAAATATTGTACCTTAACCCTGGAATTGTAGTTCCTCCTGTTCCTCTGCTCTGTAACCTTGGAGGATTGACAGGCTTTCTCAGAAACAGTCTCTAACCGATACTTCAACCGCTTTACATATCCCTGATGTGACAGATGGGGGGGGGGATGGGGGTGGACTGTGGTTGGAGAAGTCAGGCCAAAGGCCTGTTTATTCTTTGTGGGGAATGCTTGGGTATATCTGGTGAAGTGGTCAGTTACCACTAGGATTTTCCCCATCCGCCGGAATCTGGCTCTAGACAGAGGAAGTTGATACACACCAACTCCATCGACCTTGGCTCTGAAGGTGACCCATTGGCAGTGGTGTATTTTGGTTTTGTGCTACCCTAGGCAAGACTAAAATTAGGCACCCCCCCACATCTAAATTTGTCCCACCCTTTCATCTGCAAACCCCACCCCTTCCTCTATAGGCTCCACCTCTTATTAGCGCTCCTCCCACTGACACAAATGATGGGACACTATTCTTCCCACTGATACCAATGATGGTGCCACATCATTAGTGTCAGTGGGAGGAATCGTGCCCCATCATTGGTGTCAGTGGGAGGAATCGTGCCCCATCATTGGTGTCAGTGGGAGGAATCGTGCCCCATCATTGGTGTCAGTGGGAGGAAGTGCCCCATCATTAGTGTCAGTGGGAGGAATAGTGCCCCATCATTGGTGTCAGTGGGAGGAAGTGCCCCATCATTAGTGTCAGTGGGAGGAATAGGGCCCCATTATTGGAGTCAGTGGGAGGAATAGTGTTCCATCATTGGTGTCAGTGGGAGGAATAGTGCCCCATCTTTGGTGTCAGTGGGATGAATAATGCCCCATCATTGGTGTCAGTGGGAGGAACAGTGCCCCATCATTGGTGTCAGTGGGAGGAAAAGTGCCCCCTCATTGGTGTCAGTGACACCAATGAGGGGGCACTATTCCTCCCACACTGACACTAATGATGGGGCACTATTACTCCCACTGACACTAATTATACTTACATCGCTGTGCTGACCCCTGCTCCAGCCCAGGCTCCCTCCTTCAGGCACAGACACTTACCCATCAGCTGTCTTCCTTCTCCAGCTGCTCTCCTCCTCTTCACCGGCTCCAGCTGCTCCCTCACTCGATCTTCAATCTTCACGCTGCTGCTCAGCTCCTCCCCTCCAAGCTCCGCCTTCTCGCCTGTGATTGGCCGCCTGTGTGCCTTCTTTGAGCTACAGATCTGGTGGCCAATCACTAGCGAGGAGGCGGAGCTTGCAGAGGGAGGGACAGGCTGTCATAGGCTGCCCAGTGATCCCAGGGGTGTGGCCAGATTCGAGGGGTGGCTTGTCATCCCGCCCACATCACGAACAAGATCCAGGAAGATGAAGACACCGGATGGACACCCTTTGCACCCCTCCTCCAGCAGTGCCTTGCGGACCGGATCGACGTTGGACACGGAGTCGTGGACACAGGTAAGACACAACAGCCCCTGTCCCTTGCCCACGGAAGTTCCCCTTCCGCCGTGCCACCCCCCTGAAAAGTGCCGCCCTAGGCAAATGCCTTGTTTTCCTCGTGGCAAATACGCCCCTGCCCATTGGGGCAGCTTGTTTAGGCAAGGTCTTCCACTGTATACAGCTCATTCAAGTACAGCAGTATTCCTCTACTTCAGACTTCAGGCCAGTAGAAGCGGTCCCTTACTAACAGAAAAATTCTCTCCAGCCCTAGGTGACCGTTATCATCATGTAGTGACTTGAGTACTGTTTTCTTGACCTGGGGGTGGGGGCAAGAACAACAGCCATAAGTCATCACAATTCTGGCATCCAGTGGGTCATCTACCAAGAGTAAGTCAGCCCTCTTCTTCAAAAGAGCCCTTTTTGTCAACTGACAAAGTGGATCTCGATCCTGGGCCTCTTGCAAATCTCTTGGAGTAAGTTCAGGTAGCTCCTCTCCCTTCAACTTTGACATAGGCCAGTCCCTTGGCAACATATTCAGGCCCCTGACCCAGTGCTTGCACTCCTTCTGGGTACACCTGTGTTTGCCCAGGTTTGGCAGCTCCGGTTTCATAGGGACTTCAGGACAATGCATCAGCATCTCGATTCCCTACTCCATGGCAATACTTCAAGATAAGGCAGAATTCCATGAGTGCGGCCAACCATATGTGCCCAGTGGCTTCAGCTTGGCTGTGGTTAGCATATAGGTCAGAGGGCTGTTGTCCGTCTTTGTTTAAAACTCAGCCCCGTACAGGTAGTCTTTCAGTTTGTCTACAACTGCCCACTTCAGAGTAAGGAATTCCAGTTTGTGTGTAGGGTATTTCTACTCAGCAGGGGATAGACACCTGCTCATGAAAGCCACTGGTCGGAGTTGGCCATTATATCCCTGGTATACCATGTCTCCAAGACCCTCTCGACTGGGATCTACGATTAGCTCATAGGTTTTGAGGGGTCCACATAAGCCAACATGGGAGCTTGGGTCAGACATTATTTCAACTTGTTAAAGGCTTGTTCACACTGTTGAGTCCATTGCCCACTGATGGGTTCATGGAGCTTTCTTGGATCCTTCTCATGAGAAATCCGAGCATTTCCACTGGCATCCCCTTCACTGTTCTTCAGCAGTTTAGTCAGGAGTGCAGCGGTCTTTGCAAACCCCTCTCTGAACCTGTGGTAATACAAACAGAACCCCAGGAATGTCAGCTCGGTAACATTGCTGGACCTGGGTTATGTGGTTACAGCTTCAATCTTGCTGGGGTTGGTGGTCACTCCTGCTGCTGAGACTACATGCCTCATATAGGTGACCGATGTCCAGTAAAACTGGCACTTCTCTAGCGTCAGTTTGAGCCTTTTATCATAAAGCCTCTGCAGTACTTTCTCCAACCACTCTTCTAGCTGCTCCAGAGTCCTCCCGAATGTGATAATGTCATCCAAATATACCAGGACTTCAATCAGATTCATTTCCTCCATCTTGCATTTCATTAGATTTTGAAAGGTGGCTGGTGCCCCTAACAAGACTTGAGGCATTCAAGAAACTCAGGGGACTGATGAAAGCTGTTTTTCATCAGAATGCATTGGAATTTGGTAGTATCTGCTTTTCATAGTATCCACTCTTCACTCTAGTATCACTCTTCTGGTAGATCCAGGAATGGTTCTTCTGTTTGGAGTCATGTAATGAAAACACAATCGCAGAGCCCCATTCTTCTTTCTCACTACAATAATGGAGGATGCATAGGGTCTCTTGTATTCTCTGATAATATCTGCCTTCTTCAGCTCTGCCAGTTGTTTCCTGATGTCCTTCAAATCCTCTAATGGGAACCATCGAGCTCACTTTAAAAAAACAAATGCCTTATCTTCCCTGATTCTAATCCAGTGCTGCACACTTTTGGTGCATCAGATAACATAGTCATTCTTAGAAAAGATGTTCCTCCAATTCAACAGTTGATTGTGTGTCATTCCCCTGGTTAGGGGGAGTCCTGGAGCTGGAGAACCCCTTCAAGTGTGGTCTCTGTTAGTTTGGGCACTTTTACCAGAGTGACAGTACTTACATGTCCTAGAAGCATTCAGGGCATCAGAGTGATGAGAGCTTCTATGTTGTTGCAAACTCTTATTACGTTGCCATTATTAAGTTGCATAACTCTGGTAGGGATCACTTCTTGGACTACCTCCACTTCATTTGTCCCCTTGCTCTGTCTCAAAGGCAGCAAATGGCGCAGGCTGATCCCAGGTCAGTTGAACTCTGGCCTTTATGAAGGCAACCTTGCCGGTTTGCAGTACCTTCTCTTCAGGCTTGCTCTTCCAGAATCTCCCTACTTCCTCCTCAGGAGCCCTCATCATTTTGACAACCCACTGATAAGCCAGATGTAGCTGTGGATGAATGCTCTCAATGGGCAGTGCATTCTGTTCAGCCAAAGGGGTGAGCAGTCAGCGGACCAGGTTTGTGTTTGCTCCAATCAGCAAAAAACTCTGTCTCACCCCAGGAAATCGTGGGCAGACTACCACAAGCGTGTCAAAGGTCTCTGCCCTCCAAGTAAGGGATGGGCTGAAAGTCAGATGAACAGGTATGTATCTGTCGTATAGACACTTCTGAGTCCTGATTCCCCAGATCTCCAATGCTTCCAGTTTCTGCAAAAGTATGTGCCTCAGATGTTTGTAATTAAAGTCTCTGTGGAGTCACCTGTGTTCCCTGTGACGATCGCGGTGTCCGACCCCTGCCCTTCTCACCAAACTCGTGACCGAAGAACTAGCCAATCTAAAACCGTGATGTCACGTGCGTAACAATGCCACACCCAGTTGCACACTGCACATCGATTTTCCAGCTCACTGGACCACAAATCGATGTACCTGCAGCCTGAGTGCGATTGTTACTGGGTCAGGTTAATTACGTAATTAATAATTAACCCTTCACACTGCCACCACCTCCTTTTTGTACAGAGAAAGAGGAAACTTGGCAATATCAGCAATACACTAGGATGATTGGATTAGGATGATCGTCTGTATACCACTATCACCGCAGACAGGTTATACAGAGGGTTAAACACACATAGTAGCGCTCTTCAGCGGCAGGAATTCGTAAGTTGCATTAAAGAGCTATAAAAACAGTTCAACACTTTCAGAAAGAAAGATTTATTACTAAAAGGTCAAAAGGGTGCAATAAAAATATTTACAGAAAAAAGATATAACCAATATACATATAAATACAGAGTGCAATAACACAGCAAAAAGATAACAGAAAGAAGTTTAGAGAGGTAGAGCACTTGCCAAAAGTCCTGGGTTAAGCAGATCAAGTTTCAGAGCAAAAGGGCACCGTCTCCCAAGTTGGTTCTGATGTTAAAAGGGAGATTTCTTCAACTTCAACCTCTCTCTTAGGCCTGACAGCCTATTTTGTTGTCCCCCAGCAGGGGGTGTCTCTGAAGCCAAGGACCAATGCCTCATTTGGGGAGGGGTGTCTAGGCGGAGACCCAAGCTAGAACCAAAATCTCTCATAGCTTATATTTTGGCTCATAACTTTTCCTAGGCACAAGTAACATTCCACCCGCGGGTAGATTAATATGCAGACGCATCTGAATGGTTCAAGAGATGTAATTTTCTGCTTTCCTATATATTTCAGCTAAGGAGTGTGATATATCAAATGGTTTGTCTTCTCGTGACCAATCTGAAGATATGCCTGGTTTTTATGTAAGTCTCTCATATTCCAAGATATGAGACATAGGGGGAAAATGGATTTTAAAAGTGGTATCTAGTTTGTTACTTCTCTGGACTGTCTTTGAACTCAGGGGAAGGCTTGGGTTATCCTTTTACAAGGTGCCAGATTGCACAGTTTCTTAGACTGTCCGGCACCCAGCTCAGAGAGGTTTTATAGCTCGGAGCTCCCGGAGCTGTGCTCTGGCCTGCCTGTGACACTTCCAACACACACCGACCACATGTCACTGTGGATCTCAGAGAGGGAGGGGGATGAGGAATGTTATGTTTGTACAAGATGGATGATCCTTTCCCAAGATGGAGGTTGGAGCAAAATGGTTGAACCGCGTCCATCTCTGTGGGTACGATTGCTACATTCCTGTGTCCAACAGGGCTTTTGTGTACACTCCCTCCACTTGTATAGAGATTACAGGTGAGGAGCTTACCAGCTCGTCTGGAAATAGGTCTGGATGAGGTTTGTTGCTTCTGATCCGGGCTCTTCCTGACTGTGGTACTTGTTTCATTGAAGGACTCCTTGTGAGGGTTGAAGAGTGGTGTGCATCAACCTCCTGCATCCGACAGCCAGTTGATGGAGTTGGAAAGTTGGCAGGCTCTAAGGGACAGTCACTGGCAGATGCATAGATGCACAGTGTTACATATGTTTCACAATGAAGGGGGCAGTCTGCTATGCTCCTGGAAAATAATTATTGTATGATGTTGGGGATTAATTATTGTGTAGTTATGGGGGTTAATAAAGCACATTCTTTTGGGTTTATTACTGCATTATGCTGTGAGTTTACTATTGTGCCATGCTGTGTTTTTAGGGGGGGTTAATTATTGTGA